ATGTATAAAATGTAATCTGCGTCCATATACAAAGACATTTTTATGCTTAACATTGATTTTATAGATACAAATGTTTAAGTAAATGCTCTGTTTATAATAAACAGTATTAAACAACATATACAGGCCTGACTGTCCGAGAATTTTTCACAGAAACATTCGTCCTCCGACAGGATTCGAACCTGTATCCGATACGGAAGCCGTCGTTTAGCTTGACGTGCCTTTACCGATTTGGCCACGAAGGATCGTTCGGTTAGCAAGGTCGAATTTACTGTATTTAAACTTCAATCTTCCAGAGTGCACAGATACTAAATTGTTATACTGATCCTAAGCAGAGCGTACAAATACTCAGATCATAGAAGGTTTCCACCGTGTACCAAGTGACCATGTTCAAGTGTCTATTTGACTGATGGAGGATACATTGCATTAGTTGAGTTTTGTAACGAAGAAAATATTGTCATAGGGTGAATATTGTTATTTTAGCATACGACAGTGAAGAAAAGGAGCAGGTCGAGAAAAGTCTCAGTGGGCTAGTAAACCCTTACAGTCATTTTGGAAATACATTCCTCTCCAGTATGGCTACCGCTAGCCATCTGAAAACCTTCAATAAAATATGAAAGAGGTTTCTAAATCTTCCTTTGTGAAACCAAACCATAAAGAATAACATCGATAATATTTCAGACATCCACCATCCAGTGATCTGTCCATTTGGCTAATAGGGGATATCTTCCATTAATTGATTCTTGCTCGGTTCCAACCTTGTGATATATTTTCTTTGCTCGTCGCAGGTCAGTCAAATTTACAGAGTAAAATTAAAATAAATGAAAAATCTGGAAAATAGTTAGACCTTACCTCGGAATGGAAAGAAAATGTACACCATGAAGGTGACCACTATACCTATCATTATTAGAGCACTCAAAAAAACAAAACAAAAAACAAACAAACAAAAAACAAACAAAAAAACAACAAAAAACAAAACAAACAAGAACATATTGATCATTCTGGAATAGAGTTTGTACTTCAGAGAAACCAGATGCAGAGTTGAACTAACGGATGATATTCTAACCATTGAATAAAAACGCGCATGATCAACCCAGTTTTAGCTCGGATACCTGTGTGGGAAAAAAAAAAGTATGACAGATATACATATATAAATACCCACCCCAGTGGTAAGAGAGAGACTAAGATATCTGCGTATCGGTTGATTATTCGGGGCCGTGCAGAACCCCTAGACAATAGTAACTGATGATGTAATGTTATGCAGGGGAGATTTAGTTTTAGAAAACAGTACTTTCTTATAGTATTTCTAAAATAAATTTGTATAATGAGAGAATAGGTATACATTGAGGAAGCTAGTTACCAATGAAGTCCAGTGATAGTTACTAGTTACAGCGTTTCTCGGAGTATCACTTGCAAATTGGCGAGGAAGAAGTTTGGCTGTGAGGCAACAATGATAAGAGTTCGATTTAAAAGAAGACGACGAGGATTAAAACCATTTTCAATAACTAGGGAAAATATTTTTAACTATTGAATGACAAAATAAACTTTCTTAAACAGCTTTAAAAAGCTAAAAAAAACAAATAATCAAGAAAATAAGCTGAACTAGGTATTAACTCTGTTTCCCCACTAAGACGAGTTGCGAGAAAAAGTCTTTTCGTAAGGTGGGGACCCGAGCGCGTACACCCGGACCAGGAACAAAAATTGCCTGCAGCCCCCGCAACTGTCGGTTGTGCTGGCTTTGTTGCGACCAGTGATCCCTCTCTCTGGTGCAATGAGACGGCGCGGCCTCGGGCAGCTGTTCTCAGTATAATTTTCCTCATTTGCGACTTTAACGGAGCCGCCCCTGAGTGCACTCTGCCCAAAGACAGAGACGCAGCTGAGAGTTGATAGATGTGTTACAAACTCCTCGAGAGGAATTTACGCACTAAATAAGCTGAACTATGCAAAATTAATATTCATAAAAAACTAGTAAAAGTACAGCAAATAATAGTGTTCCATATATATTGATTCAATGATTTTTTATGGGTTATCAACCTTTTTCAGTTTATTTAAAGCCAGAAAATATTTTTAGATTGTATGATATTTTTTATTGGCGGGTGGGATAATAATGATTTACTGATAGAAGTACTACTAATTAACCCATGGCTAGGGAGAGTAAAGAACATAACTGGAATTGGAACTCGGCTCTCCGATTTTCAATTTCGAGTCGTTATCCATTACACTACCCGCACATTCAAGCTTAGAGCACCCGGTATTTACAAGTGATCCCTCATCTAGGGTTAGGACCAGGCTTGACGTTGTTTAATTTCGATGAACCAGTGTTTCAACTTGATAATCCTATATATTAAGTACCTTACACACACACACACACACACACACACACACACACACACACACACACACATATATATATATATATATATATATATATATATATATATATATATATATAGGGTGGGCTGAAAAGTTCATTGGCTGACTGTGAAAGAGTGATGCTAAAGCAGTGAAATATTACATGCATTAATTTCAACTCTTCTTATTAATAAGTGCATTGTTTCTTTCCAGACACGAGGGTCAAGCTGACTGAGGTTTACAGATAGGAATAAGAATATTTCGTTGAGTCCTAATTATAGCATAAGCTGCAGTACTGAGACGGTGGTGAGGCTCGAACTCGCAGCATTAGACAAATGGAGTGTTGGACTTGGATGCTAATTGTCGCTCTCCGTCTAATCCTGGGTATGACGATAAACTACATCCGGCAGCAAGGTCTCTGATTGGCACATTGAAGGTCTTGATGAGCATGGAAACGCCTTTTAATTGCTGTTTTTCCCAGGTCCACCCTGAGCCGGGGTGGTAGCACCTGTTAGGGTCCCAGCTATAGGCAAATAGTGAACCCCCAAACAAAACACTACATTTTTATTAAAAAATGCCAACAATACATTTTAATATAAAAAAATTTTATCAACACTACATATTTATAGTAAAATTATCAACAATACATACAAATTGTAGCTACTTTCCTAAATCCGTTTAAGATACTACCAAACAACCAATATGAAAGAACTCTTTCATGACATAAATCCATATAATATGCTACAATGTCTTAAATAAAAATGTATTCTAAAACATAACTTCAACAAAAAAATTACATCACTGCCTATAGCAATCATGTCCACACAAACATGTGTATGCATAAAAGCTGAGTATCATCTACCATGTATTCAATTGTGAAAGTAGAATAACATGTATCATATTTTTATTACTTCAAAACTCTCAAGAAAATAAAGTTTCAACATTAAATGACCCATAAGGAGTTGATATGCCATTAAACAAGCAAATCAAATCAAATCACAAAAGCTGAGTATCATCTACCATGTATTCAATTGTGAAAGCAGAATAACATGTATCATATTTTTATTAATTCAAAGCTCACAAAAAAATAAAATTTCGGCATTTAATGGCCCATAAGGAGTGGATGTGTCGTTAAACAGACAAATCAATTAAACGTTTTCCACCAGGCGCCTCTGAAATACGGTGTGAGTATATAAATGAAAATAATCACTTGTGACAAATCAAAATTTTACCCTAAGCAAGGCGATAATGCCACTAAGGTGCAAGAGATTACTGAGAGTGAAAGAGAATGAAAAGTAAGGAGAAAGAATAATAAAAGAAGAGGTTTCAGGAAGACGGAAGATAGGGATTAACGTTCCATTTTTAAGAACGTAGTTGTCAGCGTAGTAAGAAACTGAAAGAGAGTTCCACAGTTGAGAAATACGGGAAAAGAAACTATTAGAATAGAACCTAAGGTTATACCTATCTAGTTCAGTAAAAGCCAATCTAGAAATATGATTAAATTCATGCGATCGAGGTACCAAGAGGCGAGCTCGATAGAATAATTGCTATGAAAATAATTATAGAAACCCCCCCCCAAAAAAAAATAAAGACACGTCACGTCTTTGGGAAAGTGACTGAAGTCGAGATGTCAGGTTATGACCGATAACATTACAGACGCTTCTTTGAATTTATAGAAGGAGCACCAGACAAGATATGGCAGTCATATTCAATGCATGCACAAATGGTAGACTTATAAATGTGCAAGATAAATTCTAGAGAGAAAAATTGCATAACTTGAGACAGTGAATCAAATTTTGTCGCAGTAAACCTAGCAATTAGTTCGATATAATCATTCCATTTCATGTCAGTGGAAAACATGAGACCAAGAAGGTGCAATAAGTCACTCTCCTGGAGGTTATCATCAGCCATGCTGATGGGGGAAAATTAGTTCTTTATGATGATTAAAAAATAACGTTTCGTTTTGGAGGTCTTAAAATTTACAAGTCATTTCTTGCTGAAGTTAGCAACTGATTGGGGGTCATTTTCGAGAGCAACTGGTAGTTTTATATTGCTGGGGCCTGTTTGGACATATTATTAAGGCAGGAGTAAATAGTTGTGTCATCAGCGTCAATAATGATTTGGGAACACCGAAAAGAAACAACATAGGTCCAAGGATAGAGCTATAAGGGACCCTCACATGAATATGAGGCCGTTCAACACGACCTTCACTATACGATATGTTAATAACTGCTGGATTAATTCAACTGTTCGGCGCGAAAATCAATAACCCCTGAACTTGTGAAGAAGGCCAGCGCCTTTCGGATATGTAGGGCCACAGCCCGAGCTTCGTTGTTCTTATCTCAAGCTTGATAGACAGTAATAACCGTTAATACTTTGTTGGTAGAGAAACAAAAGCCATATTATCTGAAAGGAGATCACGGGAAGTGAGATGCTTAACCAATTCAAAGTTGATTAGAACCTCTCGTACAGTGCCAAAAAAAAAAAAAATGAAAAAAAAAGAAAGACTCATGAGGGGGATAATTTTGGCTTATCTCAGAACTTAAACCCCAGGGGTAAGAACCGATGGAAATCATGGGTTTTAGTTCTCAGCTTGTCGCATAAGAACAAAAATGTTTATATAGCTTTAGTGTCATCCAAGTTAAGAACAAATGAAGATGAAGGAAGATCGTAATGCGGCAATTTTTCAAATGGGAAGATTCTATCTGCTTGCCGTGAAAACAGGTAGTTATAATTCTGAAGTGTTTAAAAACTGGCTCCTGACATAGACAGAAAATGCGCAAACACGTGTGCAGATTATATATAAAAATGGACACTCAGGTCAACACCGAACGACGATAGTCTGTTTTATGCCTGAACGCAATCTTCAGGCTATTCTATATATATATATATATATATATATATATATATATATGAAATACTGGCAGAGTAGTTGCGATATTTATCATAATAGATAGCCTAGCAAGTCGTAAATAGTGAGACAATGCACCAAGAAAATAATATTTTTGTGGGAAATAATAATGGTTTAGTGATACAAGACTTACTAATTAATCCATAGCTGAGGAGAAGAGGTGGATTGGATTCGTCCTTTTCCCAAGAGTATTTGCGTGTAAGTGACTATAACAAATCTAACGGGAATTTGAACTCTCCGATTAAAAATTACGAGCCATTATTCATTACACCACTCGCACATACAAGCTTACAGCACCTGGTATTTCCAAGTGATCACTCATCTCGGTACTGACCCAGCTCGACGTTGCTTAACATCGGTGATCGTATTGGGACCGGTGTTTCAATGTGATGTGGCCGTAAGGATGTTACATAATGAGTACGATACTTGTAGGCTTTAGTCAACAAAATTAGACTTGTTAAATTATTTCCATGCTATTTTGAATTGTCAGAGAAATTTGTACCCACTCCATGATGGACGTAAAGTCGACATTCAGAGAATTATGGGTGAAAAGTGTGTAGACAAAAAAGAGAGATAGTCGCTTGCTTCCTGTTGATGCTGGGCATGCGTACCTTTGCAGAAAATCTCCGACATTTAATGAAGATCTTTATGTCAATCTACGATAAAAGTAAGAAATCAAGCTTGAAGAAATATAAGAACACCGAATTCAACAGAGAGAATTTGTGCTTCAACAAGTGATCAGATTTTGCCTCTCCCCTATCTATCTATCTATCTATCTATGCCCTTTAGATCTATCTATCAACAAATAAATTTAACTGTTTTCTTATCTGTTCCTACTTTGAGTTTCGTGGAAACCTTTAAATAAATTCAAATTTACTATCAAGACCCTCGATGAGCGGATGGATGCAATTTCCGTGAATCTGAGAGTAAGATTGGATAAGTAAATATTTAATATTAGTTCTTACTATTGAGGCTCTATTTCTTGACAGTGGACACTTTAATAACGACAAAACGTTATCTTCCAAAAATGCCCTGGCCGAGCTTTTTTTTTTTTTTTTTTTCTTCTTCTTTTTTTGGCAAAGCACAATCTTTGGTATTCTTATCTTTTTGTATATGTGTAATTATAGTTTAAAATTTATTACATTTTATGGAGTGTGCTCAATACCATGGGTAGAGCTTATATTCATAAAAAAAATATGGTAATAAAAATCAACAAAAAGCTTGCATCATTCACCGTTGATTTTATGTTCTCATAACATTCTCTGCTCCACTCTCTCTCTCTCTCTCTCTCTCTCTCTCTCTTGCACTTTATCTGACAATAGCCGACAACCAAACACACCCGACTCCTATGTTAGGGTGACTAGTTGATCCCTGTCGCAGACGCCTGCTCAGGCATATTTAAGTCTGTTCAAAAACTACAAAGCCCACTGAAGGTGTTTTGAAGAAGGCCAGTGAAATCATAGCCTCGGTCATGATGACTTTGTGACTTCGACTTCCGAACAGTTTCGTCTGCCGAATTTCACTCACAAGGTTTGTGTCAACCCGTGGTGCGGTTTTTCAAGAACTTTCCAACAGCGAAGCATGCTGAGATCGCCTCTTCCAGACTGATAGCATCAAGATGTTACCTCCATGACTAATCGACAATTGTGATATATATATATATATATACACAAAGTATGCTCTGAAAGTAATGTCTCCTATGTATTTCAACAGATATTAGAATAGAGAAGAGTACAATAACAAATAAATTATGGGTATAGGAATTTTTCAGGGACAAAACATGATTCTTCCACATAGTCAACAACATTGGCTTTACATTTCGGCCAGCGATGAACAATGATAAATTTCGTAGGTTGACAGCTGTTCAGTGCCGCCCGAAATTGAATACATTACCCATCACCTAACTGTGCTTACATCCACTGCTTGGTCTCTGTAAATGGCATAAAAGAATGACTGAATGTAAATGGTCCGTATGGAGCCTTTCAATGACATATTTCTAATTTGTACGCATTTTCATGCCAGACACCATTATGCCAAACTTTTGCTTAACCGCAATTTGTAACAAGCTGCATAAAAGTATGTTTGACTGATGGCAAGGTTCAACCTTATAATACTATGGCACCAACATCGCATAAAATATCGTTGCACAATATAACAAAATATAGAACATTACTTTACGAACGCACCCCCCCCGTATATCTATCTATCTATCTATCTATCTATCTATCTATCTATCTATCTATCTATCTATCTATGAATTTGTGTATTGTGAATTGTCTCCTATGTAACAGATGCATTTAAAATCGAATATTATTTCTATTTATTACTAATTAATAACTGCCATTATGAAATTAATAAAGCTAGCAATAGCGAATATATATATATATATATATATATATATATATATATATATATATAGATAGATAGATAGATAGATAGATAGATAGATATATATAGATATATATATATATAGATATAAAATAAAGAAAAAATGTTTCTCCAGGGACATTTGTAACACAAGCACACATGCTTATCACAAGGCACGATATCAAGAGAAAGAGCGTTAATAGTAGTAAATGAATTAAATTAAATCAGTTCAACTATCTTAAGATGGTCTCTACTTCGAGTTACATGAAATTACATGTACCCTTCAAGACAGGCAGTCATATATATATATATATATATATATATATATATATATA